CTAAAGAAAGTCGTCTCCAAATCCAAACGAGATTGGAATGACCATATGGAAGAAGTTCTATGGGCATATAGGACAACTCACCGCACGCCAACACAAGCAACTCCTTATTCACTCATTTATGGAGTCGAAGCCGTCTTGTCACTTGAGTGTCAAATACCTTCATTACGACTGGCTATTCAAGAAGGGATCACTGATGAAGAAAATGCTCGACTTTGATTAGCAGAGTTGGAGGCTCTTGATGAGAAGAGGTTGGAAGCTCAACAGAGTCTTGAATGTTATCAAGCTCGATTGTCTCGCGCCTTCAACAAAAGAGTTCGCCTGAGATCCTTTCAAGTAGGAGATCAAGTCCTTGCCGTACGAAGACCCATAATTACTTCCCATAAACTTGTAGTGAAGTTCACTTCAAAATGGGATGGGCCATATGTTGTACAAGAAGCTTACTCAAGTGGAGCTTACAAGCTGGTTGATGCAGATGGCATGAGAATCGGCCCTATAAATGGCAACTTTTTGAAGAAGTACTATCCTTGAAGTTGCAACGCTCTTCGACGTACGAGCCTAAACTGCAAGTTATAACGCTCCTTGATGCATGAGCCTAAACTTCACGTTGCTACACTCCTGGCCCGCATGAGTCTAAACTGTGTACGGCCCAACCAAAAAAAAAAGAAGAAGAAGAAGTCCGCTAGGTTGAAAACCTCGCGAGAGGCGGCCTAGGCAAAAAATTAGGACATAAAAAAAAAGTCACCCCTCTGAACTACGTTATGACTTGATCCTCTTCACCGAGATACGTAGGGTGCTTAGAGTTTCATTCTAAGTTCAGTCGCATGAGTTTTAAAAAAAATGAATGTTTGGCATTATCGGATCATTACATTAGTTCTTCCAAGTGTAGAGGCACATATCTATGAGGAAAATGAGACGATTTGCGTTGAAGTATAAAAGATGTTTTATTGCTTCAATAGTACAAAAGTTGATACATTCAAAAATGTAGAGACAACAGGAACTAGACATTTTTCTATACAAAAGCCTCAATCATGAAGATGATTGTAAACTAGACTTTGTTGCTGACGCGTCTAAATGCTTTTTCAAGTCTGTATGACGTCTCCACATTTGATGCCATTCTCAATTATTGGTTGAAGGTCCCAAACACCATGGGAGCCGCTATTGATGAACTTCAAGACTATCAACAAATAAAGTGCAATAGTTGGTGAAGGGGTGGCTCCACATCTTGTATGACACCCCGGTCTGTTATCCGGACTCTTTGAGCTTCTATGCGAGTCTGCAAAAGAAATAAATGAAGAGATAAGATTTGTGACGCATATAGCCAAGCTACTACATGCAAGACTGTAGAGTCAATTTCAAGAAGAAAAAAAAATTGTAGGACAACTCAGAGAGCATAGAGCTGGAAAGCAAGCTCGACAGACGACGGGATCAACTTTGGAAAACTACTGCAGTCCATCTTGAAGACCTTCTGCTCCTAACATTTTATATGTTGTAGATTTGGATGTCTAGTTTGTAATAACACAAACCGCTTGCAATTTGGAGGCCCCTAGCTCAAGATATGATTTTTTTTGCCGGAACTACACGAATCTGAAAGTTACTGCAGCTAGGTGGACTTTGAGAATTTTCTATTTCTAGCTCGGAAGGAGTTCTGCCACGAAACTCATAGGTATTGCATATCTCTGAGTTTACTTTCTAACGGCACAAACGGATCTCAATTTGGAGCCTCCTAGCTCGAGATATGAATCATTCGACAGGAGTGCGCAAAGAAGAAACAAACGCAAGATGGACATCAGGAGCGACTTCAAAGTAATATCGCGACCAATCTAAAAGGAGTTCTGCCGCGATATTTTCAGGTGCTGTAGGTGTAGAACTTATCTTTCCGATGTTGCAGACGTCTTGGGATTCCGATACCCATAGCTTGAGTTATGAAGTTTTCTACAAAAGTGCGCAAAGCTGGATTGCAAGTGCGGCAGATATTAGGAGCAATTTCAAATTACTGTTGCGGGCAATCCGAAAAGAGTTCGTCCAAGATATCTTCAAGTGTTGCAGAAATTGTAGTGCTCTCTCCAATGACATGGATGGCTTGCGATTCCGACACTTGTAGATCGAGATATGAATTTTTCCACGAGTGCACACAAAGCTGAATGGCGAGTTCGGTAGACAGATGGGTGAATTTCAAAATATCGCTGCGGCTAATCTGCAAGGAATCCTTCCATGATGTTTCGGGGACTTCCTTACCTCTGAGTCTTCTTTCCAGGGACGGCTAGCAATTTGGATGTTCCTAGCTTGAGATATGTGCGTTCCAATGACAGCATGCAGTGCTGTGAAGCCGAAATGGCAGACTTGTGCATCGCATTCAAAAGTTCATTCCGACTTGTCCTGATGGAATTTGGCCCTAAATTTTAGATATGTCGTTGTGGTGCAAGTTTTGATTCTGAAGAACCAAGGGATTGTAGTTTGGATACTCCTAAGTCGAGATACGATTTTTTCAATGCAAGCATTAAATGCTATAAAGTCAAAGTAACAGAGACGCACCAGGTGCTTGCTCGCTGAAGTTGGAAAGGCCTACTCCAGTTGTCCTTCTCGCCAACCTGCTAAGACGCAATATGGCACATGTTCGCTCGCCACTGATGAAATATGGTCTCTCCATGCCTCCAAGAGTAGGGATTTCGTCGTCGAGGATGAAAGGACGCTTCATATGTCTCTCTCGCCAAGCTGCAACAAAGAGACAAGTGTTTCGCTACAAATCATATAGGCGTCTCGTGCATCTCCTTAGGGATATCAAAGACCGCTGGTACTGTTGCAAAAGCCTGCAAAAGAAGAATATTTTGGAAATCCTCGATGCCAACAACACAAAGTTTCTGCGGATACGATGCCAATAACACGATGATTCAGCAGCATGATGCTTCAGTTTGACATAAAAGACATCAGAAGCAGTACAACAGTCTAGTTCGGCATGGCAGGTATCGGTGCCCATAGCACGAAGCTTTAACTTGCGGCAAAATTTTGGTCTTGAACAGCGATCTCTATTGGTCAAAGTTTGCAAATTTGGCTTCTCATGTTGGTGGATTCCTTCAATATGGATTAATTCTGAATAAAGAAGCAATGCAAAGCACATGTAGAAACAAGTTAAAATCTGTAGGAAAAGATTGTTAGCTCTAAAAAATAAAGGAAAAGGACAATCTAAATAAATATTGAGTTGCCGAAAAGAAAATCTGTCAAGCTTGGTGTTTTTCAGTTCTTTGTGGCAAAAGCTCGTAAAAGCGCTACTAATTTAATTTGCTACTCTCGACCCAAGGTCGAATGTTGATCACATGCTTCGGGGAGTTACTGCTTTTACGTTGTAATGCTGCTAATCATCAAAAGTTGATGAGAAAATTGTCTTATGCACTGTAAGAACCTCAGTTGTCTACACTTCTGTGAAGCTAAATTCCAAAATTCCATTTGTAATATGACAAATAGAAGCTTCCAACTGAGATTTATTTTCACTGTCATCCTTCTATGAACTATGAAATGTGAATATATAGCATGAGGTAGTTGTCCTTTTATAGGAGTTACGCAAGAAGGAATTTATCTTTCAATAGGAGAAGAATTGTCGTCAAGGAAGAGTTTACATTGAGGAGTATGCTATTGGAATAAATCAAGAAAACGAAAAACTTGTCGGTGTCAAAGTCCCAAAACGCATGACATCGGCCTTAATTTGGATTTGGCAAGCAATCCTACTGATGAGGGCACGACTTTCCATTTTTCAATTTCAAGTAGAGAACGACTTCCTATAGTATATGGACTCAATCTGAAGTTATTGAGCTGGAATATCGCAAGGCGAATTCGAAATGCCAAATCAATTCGATCCAAATACTATATGTTGTAAATTCACAAGGTTGTATTTCCAAAATAGGAAAGGGCTTACAAGGAGTCAAGTTTGAGGTTCAGACAAAATAAAAGTTTGTTAATATTTGTACTTCAAGCCTCGCCGTTAAAGTTTGACAAGTCTACAAACCAACGCAACTTGAAGTAGGGGCCATTTGTAGACGATTGAATTTTATTTGAGTTTAAGTCCATTAAATTATTTGGACCACATGATAAATTCAAAGACGTGTCAGCCCAAACAATGATTACGGACTAGAATAATTGAATTTATTATTTAAATCCAATATGAGTATATGGATTTAATTAAGAGCCTGAGTTAATTAGGCTAGTTCATCTTGTTGGACTTCAAATGATAAGCCCAAAATCCATGCCACGTGTCAAATGACATGGCACGCCAAGTCAAATCAAGGGCCACTAAAATCATGCCACGCGCATAAGTGATGTAGCATGCCAAGTCAAATGTAAGGACCAATCAAATATCGCCAAATATTCAAATGACATGGTTCAACCAATTATGTGCAAGCTTATCACATAGCTTTAGTGATAGGTTTGATGACTCAAGTTGGCCAATTAAATTGGAGGAAAAAAATATATGTTTATCACAAGTTCCCTCCCCTCCAACTATAAATAGGGGCCTCCATAAGGCTAAAGAAAAGAAAAAAAAGAGGAAAAAACGATACGTATTAAAGCTCTCCTCTACAGTGGTGATTCGCAAGTCTTCCGCATAGCAAGAAGTCGTCGTCTCCAAGGGGTGAGCCGCAAGTTTTCCATCCTCCACGTTTGTGATCAAAGCCTAGCTCCGCATTCGTGGTCAAATCACAACGACAAGTGGTCCATCAATTCAAGAACAAGCGAAGCTCTCAAATTGACGGTCGAGGAGAAGAATTAGAGGATTACATCTTTTAAACTTAAGATTGTTCAAAGATTGTAACCTGCATAAATTATTGAAATACAAATACTTTTATTTGTCGCTATATTTCTTGTCTTGATTATTATTTTCAGGAACGAAATTTTAGTTGTTACACATGCCACAACAATACTCCATATCATTAAATCCAACCTACTAAATCACCAATTGACAGTCTTAATTCCAAAAAACAAAGAGAACATATTGTAACCTAAGCAATTGCATAGAAAACCAAAGTAGGAAGTCATATAAAAGGAGAATACTAATGATTAGCATATGGTGTAAGAAACAACCCATACAACTCAGTATCAAATAAATACAGAACATCAAGAACTAAGTACCATTTCCAGTATCTTAAAACATTAAATTAGTGATATATGCTTACAATACGACATCCAAATACTTCCAGATAAAAATGGCTTTTTTTTTGTCTCACCAACATAAGATTACTTCAGTTCAAGCATTAGTTAAGCACTTGGGGCATCACCAACAAGCTTGAATTGTTGAACTTCCTTGAAGTCTTCCCATGGCTTCACCCAGATCTTGGCTTCATATACTTTCTTCTTTCCGCCTTCAGTCGCCTCGAGTGTTATATAATACATGGTTCCAGCAACTACCTGTTGTTTCACATTCACAACCTTTCCAAACTCCAAAAGAGCATTCTGAAATACAGTATATATTGTTCAAAAGAAAGGTTGTAAGTCATTAATCTGTACTACCACGAACTCCTAGCTTCAGCTTATATTATTCGCCTAGTCTAACAAATTATAGAGTTGCCAAACAGTACAATAACATCACACCCGATGTAATCTCACAAGTGGGGTCCAGGAAGGATAGTGTGTACGCAGAGAAAGCATAACCACAACAGATATGACAAAGAAATACGGGAGTAGATAAGCTATAGGAAGAGAAGCAGTAACAACAACCAGCAAAATAAGATAATAGAAGCAAAGTAAACCACAGACAATAATAACTGCGAAGAACGAGAAATACTAGAATAACACTAGCACTACAAATGTGGAAAAAGAGACAATCAATTAATTCATCATAAGTTTTTCGATTGCACATACTAATTATCACATAATCATATAGTAATTAATAAATTTTGTGATGCAGTACCACAGAATATGCAACAGTAAAAAAAAAGAAGGGAAGAGTGCGAAAAGAACACAATCAAACAACATAAAAACAAGAAACATGACCAATTTGGAGTAATTCAGGGGCGAAATTGGTCCTTTTCCATCCGAGCTGGAGCAACCCTTTATGTGGAGGGCAATTTTGAGCTACTTGGCTTATGGCTAGGGGATTTTGGTGAGGGCATTTTTGTGTCAAAATTGAAACGAATGTCAAAGTTTCCCATTTCTGTTGCGGAATATCTTGGGTTAACTAGCACACAATCACACACAAAGCAAATAGAGAAGAAAAATCAACACAAGGATTTAACGAGGTTCGGCTAAACCTAATCCTCGGGGCAAAAGCAGAGAGAGTTTTCCACTATGAATGAGAAGAAAAACACAATAGAATCTTTAGAATCCCCAACTACAACCCCTATATATAGATCCCAAAAGGTCCCAAACATATATGAGAAAGGTTTCCCAATTAGACAAGGACTATAGGTTTCCTTTCCCAAATCTATTAGGACAATGGGTTTTTCTAAACCTATAGGGACTATGGGTTTCCTAAAAATACAAGGAAATAATTCAAGCCACAAATAACAAATCTTCCCCATGGCTTGAATTCCCTTCAACAGGAACAACGTCTCTCTACCTTGCCCTCAGCCCTCGCAAGGGCTCTATTGAGTACTGCACACACCAATCAAGTCTAGCAATGCCTAAACTTGTTAAGAGACTTAATCTCTTCAGCCATAGCACTAATCCATCGATTTGGTTCAATACTCGGAAAAGCTTCTGGATAGCTATAACACTCAAACGCATCAACGGTCTCTGCAACTGGCAAAGCAAATCCCATAGGATTCGTATATCCAAGAAGATTCCCATCAACTACGTTTGCAAACCTTTGTGGTGGATTGATCACTCTCTTCTCTCTACCTGTTGCAATGCTATAGGGTTGTTGCGCAGGTGCATCAACATTATCGTCTTGATCAATATTTTGCACCTCCTCCACTTTCTCTACTTTAGAACTACTGGGCTGAGCTAGTGAAGATTCAATTTCTAGCTCTATGCGGTCACTGACACCACGATCTGTTTCTGCTATTGCCTTCTCCCTCTGACTGTCCGGTGAGGCAGATTCATTGAATGTTACAATAGCCCTGGAGTCTTTTGATCTGTGCATCACAACCTATAACCTTTCACTCCAGTTGCATACCCTAGAAATATGCACTTCTTTGCCCTCGGCTCAAGTTTTCCATTCCTCACATGAGCATAAGCAGGACAACTAAATATCCTTAAATTTGAATAATCAACAGGCGAACCGGACCATACCTCAAAAGGAGTTTTGAACTCAATAGCTGTGGATTGAGATCTATTGACCAAATAACAAGTTGTATTGATTGCTTCAGCCCAAAAATCTTTGCTAACACATGAGTGTGAAAGCATGCTTCGTGCCCTATCACAAAGTGTTCTATTGATACGTTCTGCAACACCATTTTGTTGTGGTGTTCTGACACAAGTGCGGTGTCTCACTACGCCCTCCCTGCTGCAGAAATTATCGAACTCAGAATTGCAAAATTCCAACCCATTGTCAGTTCGAAGACGCTTAACTTTTCTTTTCGTTTGCCTCTCAACCATCGTCTTCTAATTAACAAATGTCGAAAATGCCTCATCTTTGGTTTTCAGAAAATACACCCACACCATCCTTGAGTAATCATCAATCAAAGTCATAAAATACCTAGCACCACTCTTGGAGGGAACTCTGTTTGGACCCCACAAGTCAGAGTGTATATAATTTAACTTGTCTCTGGTCTTGTGCCCGGCCTTCTTGCTGAACTTTACCCTTGTCTGCTTACCGAACACACAATGCTCCAAAAAATTCAAAACTTAATTTTTGTACCCATTCAGCAAATTCTTCTTACTCAACAAAGACAATCCATTATCACTCATATGGCCAAGTCGCAAGTGCCACAACTGAGACTGATTCAGATCACTTTTTCCAGAAGCTACAGCAGCTTCCCCTTCAACTACACTGGCCTGAAGATGATACAATTTAGAATGTAGTTTACCCTTCATGAGTACCATGGAGCCTTTACACACTTTAAGTATTCCATTCTCGGAGTGGAATTTATACCCTTGATCATCCAAAGTCGAAAGAGAAATCAAATTTCTCTTTATCCGAGGAACATGCCAACACTCAATGTTTCTGATAATTCCGTCGAACATTCTCAATTTGATGTTACCAACCCTCTCTACTGGTAATGGATTATCATCTCCCATATAGATAGTCCCACTCATTTGTTTGTAAGTTGCAAACAAATTCTTATGTGGACACATGTGGAAAGTAGCACCAGAATCAAGAACCCAAGAATTTTGCCCATGACTAGAACTCACAGCACAAACTTCCCCTACATAGTCTCTATCATCAGAATTATTGCCAGTGTCAACAATATTTGCCGAATTATCTATTTTCTGCTTCCCTCTTTTCTCCTTCAGCTTAGGACAATCTCTCTTGTAGTGACCTTGCACCCCGCACTCATAACAGTGTTGCTTCCTTGCTCTAGACTTTGATCTTGTGGTTGACTTTTTCCTGTTAAAGTCCTTTTGTTGTGTTCTTCCTCTAATCACAAGACCCTCGCCCTCAATTCTGCTGTCTGGAAAGCTCTTTTTCAACTCTTTAGATTTTAGTGCATTACTACAATCTTCTAGTGAAATGCTGTCTTTCCCATATAGCAGTGTATCGGCAAAAGTATCATAAGATTGTGGTAAAGAACATAACACAATCAAGGCCTGATCCTCACTCTCAATTTTGATATCCACATTCTTCAGGTCCATTATAATTGAATTAAACTCATCAAGGTGAGTTTTAACAGGTGTACCTTCGTTCATACGGAGATTGTATAACCTCTTTTTCAGGTAGAGGCGGTTTGTCAGCGATTTCTTAGAATACAGATCTTCCAATTTCTTCCATGCCGTTGCTGCAGAAGTTTCTTCAGCAATTTCCCGAAGAACGCTATCTGTAACGCTCATGAAGATCGCACTCAAAGCCCTCTCCTTCAGGTCTTCCTTATTTGTCTCTTTCATATCTTCAGGAAAATGCTCATCAATTGCTTTCCATAATCCTTGTAACACCAAGGACGATTTCATCCTAATCTTCCATAGACTGAAACTAGAACCTCCGTCAAATTTCTCTACTTCGTACTTTGTTGAAGATGATGAAGACATCTTAACCCTAGATTATATGGAGAAACCCGAACCTTGCTCTGATACCAATTGTTGCGGAATATCGTGGGTTAACTAGCACACAATCACACACAAAGCAAATAGAGAAGAAAAATCAACACAAGGATCTAACGAGGTTCGGCAAGCCTAATCATCGGGCAAAAGCAGAGAGAGTTTTCCACTATGAATGAGAAGAAAAGCACAATACAATCTTTAGAATCCCCAACTACAACCCCTATACATAGATCCCAAAATCCAAACATATATGAGAAATGTTTCCCAATTAGACAAGGACTATAGGTTTTCCTTTCCCAAATTTATTAGGACAATGGGTTTTCCTAAACCTATAGGGGCTATGGGTTTCCTAAAAATACAAGGAAATAATTCAAGCCACAAATAACAATTTTAAATAGTTTATGGACAAAATTGACCCTTTCACCTTAATCTAATAAGGCCAACATCAGAAGAAACATAGGATAATTTAATAACACAATCAAACAACACAAAAAGCAAGAACAAACTCAAATCCACAAACATGAAGTATAGGGAGACAAAAAGAAAAATCTCAATCGGATAAGCAAATTGACAATTCCGTCAAATCTCAAACTATGAGAACATCAAAAGAGAGCAGTGACATATATCTACTTATCAACAATATGAGAAAGGAATGGGAGTGTTGGAGCAACCGTAAAGTTGATGGAATTCTACATCCGCCCCTGCACCGGGCTGTAGGGGGAAGTAATTAACCTGTTTTTTGTTATAATCCTGGACAGCAAAATGAGCAAGATCATCGATCTCAACGCTGTTCTGGGATCCTCCAACCTCGCTAATGCCTCCTACAGCTGCCATGATTACTCTATCTGCAAATGGGCTGTAACAATAAGAAGGAATGTAATGAGAAAAATGCAGTAAGTCTACACTGGTTTTATACAGAAAAGGGAGAAGAGAACGACAAGTTAGTAAACAAAACGAAACAGTCAACGAATCTAGCACGTTATAAATATTTTGATGGATTTGCATTGATCTTCTGACTTTTCAGTTCCGTTGTTAAATTTTGCTTCCAAATAGTAACAAAAAGAAAAGAAAAGAACTTTAAAAGGGGAACTCAATACTTGCCTGTAATGTTCAGAATTGAGTGGTTGTAGTAGACTTGTAGTATATTATTTCTCTGTGTGCAAGACTAGATACATACTCTCTTTGCCCCATACCTTTCCCATCCCTCAAAATGAGGGGAAAACACACGGTGATAGCGTTTGGATATTAATTTAGTTGAAACTTGAAAAAAAAAATTTTAAAAATTGTTTTTGAAAGTTGAAGTTGTGTTTGAATATGCATTTTACTTGAAAAATGTTAAGTTTTGTGAGAGGAAGAAAAAATTTCACCCAAAAATTAGCTCAAATTAGTTTTTGGAACTTGAATTTTTTTTCAAAACCTCATCAAATTCCATGAACAAATAATGTTTTCAATTTAGTTTTTTTTTTTTAAAAGTAACCAAAATCTATGTTCAAACGGGAGCTTAAGAGCATTTGTCTATTTGGGATTTAATCTCGGATATTTGGAATTTATTAGTATGGATGCGCGCATGGGCGATTAAAGGGAACGCTTCCTACCACGTATTTCTCTCTTCTCACGTATTAAATCCAAGAATTTTAATTAAGGGGATAGAGATTCAATTCATTTCATCACCCCCTGAATATTATTTTCTCATGTTTAAATTGCAAAAACAGAAAAGAAGAGAATATACTCCCTTTGTCACAATGTATTATGAAGCTACCAGTTCAAATGAACTATTTATGTCAATCTCCTAATGTTGATACTAGTTGGTGCTATACTTGTTTGACTCAAAAGATATTGGAACCTTATTGAACAAATCAATTAATGATAATGATGAGGGGTAAATCCTAGTTAAGGATAATTAACTCTAGATCCGAGATGAATAATATGAATGGAAAAACATAGCCGAGTATAAATATTGGCAGTGATTATGGCCAGATTTAATAGCATAAAGAAAGATGCATTAAGTAACACTAAGTGGCAATAAAATGTAAATAAAGGGAAAGATTCACCCAATCTTGAGTGAGACAGATCTTCTTTCATTTGATAAAGATGAATCATAGACAAATACAAGAACCTTAGGACCCTTTTTGGATCTGATGAAGGTATGAGATCACAGATCCTCCCATCTCTTTAGAGAGGTGTATTTACATATTTTCTAGAGAGAGAGAGAGGGAGAGGGAGAGAGAGAGAGAGCCTCCCTTTTTAGGAAGTTTTCTCTTCCTATTTATAAGGGGTCTTCCTAGAAAAACCCTAAAAGAAAAGGTACAATTAGAGGGAATATTCGGTGGAATATTCCTTTTGAGGATTCCAAAGCAACCTAGTTGTTTCATCACTGCCCGACCTCGACTTCATTGATGACAGTCCGACCTTGACCTGTCCGACCTCGGCCTTGTTGATGACTGTCCGACCTCGGCCTTATGTCTTCGCGTGCCGAATTTCTCTGATCTAATTTTGACCCATACAGTTAGTCCCTCCGCTTATCGAGGTCGTCTCTTGGTCGAGCTCGGTGAGCGGACTTCATTAATCGTAGTTCGAGAAATTCGGATGGGGAGGTCGACTAGTGTGGATCGCGGCTGAAGGTGCTGATCTTTAGGTCAAAGTGGTATCCCCGCGGGCTGAACTTTAGCAGAGTTTGATCAGGGCCAATGACTCGAGTGATGAGTCGATCGAGAAGACGATAGAGTTTGGAGAAGGCCGTCAAGGCCAAGATAGCGACTTTGGCAAAGATGGCGGCATCGGAGGAGGTCATTCGCGTCCTTGGATCTGGACGGGCGAGGAGGTCGAATGTGAATTTAGACGAGGTCGCCGAATGGGAATCCGGGCGCGGTCGCCAAATGTGAATTCGGGCGAGGTCGCCGAATGTGAATTCGGGCGAGGTCACCTAATGTAAATTCGGACGAGGCCGAAGTTGATTCGGACGAGGCCGAATGTTGATTCGGACGAGGTCGAATTCTTCTTTTTTGGTGATGGCCCTCGGCCATCGGGGTGTTATTTCGAGCTGGTCAAAATGTTAACCCGTCGTGGTTCGAACGAGGTCAAACTCTTCTTTTTTGGCGATGGCCCTTGGCCGTAGGGGTGTTATTTCGAGCTGGTCGAAATGTTAACCCGTCATGGTTCGAACGAGGTCGAACTCTTCTTTTTTGGCGATGGCCCTTGGCCGTCGGGGTGTTATTTCGAGCTGGTCGAAATGTTAACCCGTCGTGGTTCGAACGAGGTCGAACTCTTCTTTTTTGGCGATGGCCCTTGGCCGTAGGGGTGTTATTTCGAGCTGGTCGAAATGTTAACCCGTCGTGGTTCGAACGAGGTCGAACTATTCTTTTTTGCCGATGGCCCTTGTCCGTCGGGGTGTTATTTCGAGCTGGTCGAAATGTTAACCTGTCGCGGTTCGAACGAGGTTGAACTCTTCTTTTTTGGCGATGGCCCTTGGCCGTAGGGGTGTTATTTCGAGCTGGTCAAAATGTTAACCCGTCGTGGTTCGAACGAGGTTGAACTCTTCTTTTTTGGCGATGGCCCTTGGCCGTAGGGGTGTTATTTCGAGCTGGTCGAAATGTTAACCCATCGTGGTTCGAACGAGGTCGAACTCTTCTTTTGTGGCGATGGCCCTTGGCCGTCGGGGTGTTATTTCGAGCTGGTCGAAATGTTAACCTGTCGTGGTTCGAACGAGGTTGAACTCTTCTTTTTTGGCGATGGCCCTTGGCCGTAGGGGTGTTATTTCGAGCTGGTCGAAATGTTAACCTGTCATGGTTTAACTCTTCTTTTTTGGCGATGGCCCTTGGCCGTAGGGGTGTTATTTCGAGCTGGTCGAAATGTTAACCCATCGTGGTTCGAACGAGGTCGAACTCTTCTTTTTTGGCGATGGCCCTTGGCCGTAGGTCGATTCTGACGAGGCCGAATGTTGTTTCGGAAGAGGCTGAATGTTGATTCGGACGGGGCCGAATGTTGTTTCGGACAGGGCCGATAGTTGATTCGGACGGGGCCGAATGTTGATTCGGACGAGGCCGGAGGTCGATTCGGACGAGGCCGAATGTTGATTCGGACGAGGCCGGAGGTCGATTCGGACGAGGCCGAATGTTGATTCGGAGGTCGAACTCTTCTTTTTTGGCGATGGCCCTTGGCCGTAGGGGTGTTATTTCGAGCTGGTCGAAATGTTAACCCGTCGTGGTTCGAACGAGGTCGAACTCTTCTTTTTGGCGAAGGCCCTTGGCCTTAAAGGGTGTCATTTCGACTTATCGAAATGTTAACCCATCGTCGTTCGATCGAGGTCGAACTCTTCTTTTTGGCGATGGCCCTTGGCCGTAAGGGTGTTATTTCGGGCTGGTCGAAATGTTAACCCGTCTTGGTTCGAACGAAGTCGAACTCTTCTTTTTTGGCGATGGCCCTTGGCCGTAGGGGTGTTATTTCGAGGTGGTCGAAATGTTAACCTGTCGTGGTTCAAACGAGGTCGAACTCTTCTTTTTCAGCGACGGCCCTTGGCCTTAAGGTCGACCTATTCTTTTTTTGGCGATGGCCCTTGGCCGTAGGGGTGTTATTTCGAGCTGGTCGAAATGTTAACCCGTCATGGTTCGAACGAGGTCGAAGTCTTCTCTTTTGGCGATGGCCCTTAGCCGTCGGGGTATTATTTCAAGCTGGTCGAAATGTTAACCCGGTTTGGTTCGAATGAGGTCGAACTCTTCTCTTTTGGCGATGGCCCTTGGCCGTAAGGGTGTTATTTCGAGCTGGTCGAAATTTTAACCCGTCGTGGTTCGAACAAAGTCGAACTCTTCTTTTTTGGCGATGGTCCTTGGCCGTAGGGGTATTATTTCGAGCTGGTCGAAATGTTAACCCGTCGTGGTTCGAATGAGGTCAAACTCTTCTCTTTGGCAATGACCCTTGGCCGTAGGGGTGTTATTTCGAGTTGGTCGAAATGTTAACCCGTCGTGGTTCGAATGAGGTCGAACTCTTTTTTTTTTGGCGATAGCCCTTGGCCGTCGGGGTGTTATTTCGAGCTGGTCGAAATGTTAACCCGTCATGGTTTGAACGAGGTTGAACTCTTCTTTTTTGGTGATGGCCCTTGGCCGTAGGGGTATTATTTCGAGCTGGTCGAAATGTTAACCCGTTGTGGTTCGAACGAGGTCGAACTCTTCTCTTTTGGCGATGGTCCTTGGCCGTCGGGGTGTTATTTCGAGCTGGTCGAAATGTTAACCCGTCGTGGTTCGAACGAGGTTGAACTCTTCTTTTTTGGCGATGGCCTTGGCCGTAGGGGTGTTATTTTGAGCTGGTCGAAATGTTAACCCACCATAGTTCGAACGAGGTGGAACTCTTCTTTTTTGGCGATGGCTCTTGGCCGTAGGGGTGTTATTTCGAGCTGGTCGAAATGTTAACCCGTCGTGGTTCGAACGAGGTCGAACTCTTCTTTTTTTGGCGATGGCCCTTGGCCGTCGGGGTGTTATTTTGAGCTGGTCGAAATGTTAACCCGTTGTTTCACTGTCAGATTTTGGAGGATCGCAGGTCCCTGTACTGTTTGTGCATACGTCAGGGTGAATCCTGGCGTACTCGATTTTGTTTTTACTGGAGAATATTGGGTGTTCCCTGGGGGAGTCCCAGTTTTGCTTAGCTTCTGCATTTCTTGGGTGAGTCCCAATTTGCTTAGTTTTGCTTGCGCTGGGGAATACGATGCATTCCCTAGGCGAGTCCCAGTTTGCTTAATTTTGCTTGCATTGGAGAAAATGACGCGTTTTCCGGGTGAGTCCCAGTTTGCTTAATTTTGCTTGCATTGGAGAGTACGATGCGTTTCCTGGGTGGGTCCCAGTTTGCTTAATTTTGCTTGCATTGGAGAGTGCGACGCGTTTCCTGGGTGATTGCTCCTACTTCTATTCCACTTAGAGAAAGTCAGTTAAAACAAAATGAAAGCGTTCGTTACCTCGATTTGATCGGTCGACGAGTGGAGAGGAATGACCACGTTCCCTTCTCCAGTTATGCTTCTAGTGGCCGCTACCAGTTTGGCAAGAAAGGGTTGTTCCGCCAAATAAAGAGGAATATATGT